AGCCACATTGGAAAACAGTACGGTGTGTCCTTAAAAAAACTGAAAATAGAATTATCATGTAATCCTGCAATTTCACCTCTAAGTATATACTTGAAAGAATTGAAAGCAGAATCTGAAAAAATTATTTGTATACCAATGTTTGCAGCAGCATTATTCACAATAGCCAAAAGGTGGAAACAACTCAAGTGCCCGCCAATAGATGAATGAATAAACAAAATGTGTTACATACACACAACAGATTCTTCAGCCTTTAAAAAGAAGGAAATTCTAAGACAGGCTACAATGTGAGTGAATATCCAGGATATTCTGTTAAGTGAAATAAGCCAGTAACAAAAGGACAGATAATGTTGATTCCACTTAAATGAGATATCTAGAGTGGTTAAATTTATAGAGACAGAAAGTGGAATGGTTTCCAGGAGATGAAGGGGAGGGAGGCATGGAGGGAGGAGTGGGGAGTTTTTGTCTAATGGATACAGAATTTGAGTTTTGAAAGATGAAAAGAACTGTGGAGATGGATAGTGGTGATACACATCATGCTGCTGAACTCTACACTTAAAAATGGTTAAAATACAAACTTAATGTTATAAATATTTACCACAATTTTTTTTTACTTGAAAAAAGTCTTCAAATAAATGAAGGCAACCAACATGGCCTCACAGAGGAATCTCATAGCCATCTCCTTCCACTGTTCACCCTATTACATAAAGTCCAGTCATCCTCAGGTCACTTTCCTCTGAATATCCTTCAGCTACCTACCTATAACCCATTTAGTCCATGGGCCATAAACCTTGGCATGAAAATGACCAGTTAGTTAAGAGAGGAAAGCCAAGACTTCCCTGGTGGTCCAGTGGTTAAGACTCTGCGCTCCCAAAGCAGGGGGCCCGGGTTTGATCCCTAGTCCAAGAACTAGGTCTCACATGCCACAGAAAAGGTCCTGCATGCAGCAACGAAGATTACGAGTGCTACAAGTAAGACTCAGCACAATGAAAAACAGGAAAAAACCTATTATCACCTAAACTTTTGTTACTAGACTTTTATTACTACAGCCAGAGACCTACTAGTTGTTAATTCCCATGGCGTTAACTTGCCAAATAAAGTCTATGTGCTTTTCTAATGTGCCACCACTAAAAACCTTTTGTCAGTTAAAACTCTTTCAGTGATTAAGAAGAAAAACAAATACATGAAATCTGTGCAAAAAACTTAAACAAAAACAAGAAATATATTGGTTCATGTAAATGTTCCCAAAATGGTGCTGGCTTAAGGTATGGCTTGATTCAGGATTTAAACGACGTCAGGTCTCAGTTGTTTTCTTCTCTTAGCCCAGCTCTGTTCTTCTTCTCCTGTCTTCATTCTTAGGCCCTCTGCCTATGAGATGTCCCCCATAACTCGTGGCTTCAGGGGTGGTAGAACAAAACTTGCTCCCAGCAATCCCAAAATATCCAAACTGTCACGGGCTTTCATGGGCTCTGATTGGGGTCCATCCCTGAACCAATCTCTGTGGCCAGGATAGTGCTGGTGTTGATTGGCTTAGTTCTAGTCACACGTGCCAGCCTTGAGCAGGAACTAGTCAACTCCATGGGCTGAAAGAGGAGAGGAGATAGTCCATAGAGAATAATAATGTTAAGGTCACCAGCAGGGTAAGGGGATGTTAAAGAACAAAAACTAGAAGTTCGGGCTTCCCTTGCAGTCCGCTGGTTAAGAATCCCCCTTGGAATACAGGAAACACGGATTTGTTCCCTTGTCTGGGAAGATACCACGTGCTTTGGGACAACTGGGCCCATGTGCCACAACTACCAAACCTGCACTCTAGAACCTACAGCTGCAAATGCTGAGCCGCCACAAAGCAACTAACTGAAACCTGCATGACTAGAGCCTGTGCTCTGCAACAAGAGCACCCACTGCAATGAGAAGCCCGCGCACCGCAACTAGAGAGTAGCGCCTGCTCTCTGCAACTAGAGAAAGCCCTCACACAGCAGTGAAGACCCAGAGCAGCCAAAAATAAACAAATAAATAAATATTTTTAAAAGAAAACAAAACTACAGGCTCAAAATGAAAGTGAAAGTATTAGTCACTCAATAGAGTCAGACTCTTTGCAGCCCCATGGACTGTAGCCTACCAGGCTCCTCCATCCTTGGGATTTTCCAGGCAAGAATACTGAAGCAGGTTGCCATTTCCTCCTCCAGGGGATCTTCCCAACCCAGGGATCAAATCTGGGTCTCCCAAATTGCAGGCAGATTCTTTACCATCTGAGCCACCAAACAGGTTCAACCACCATTCAGTTAGTTCAACCGAATATTTTATGGACTGAAAGATATTACCTTTAGCTTATCTCTATTAAATTCAATGTTGTTAGAATCCTTCTGGTAAATTATTTGGAATTCTATTCTATCAGGCAATGCATTCCTTGTTTCTCTCAGCTGTGTGTTACGTAACAGTGTGATGAATGTGCCTTACAGATTTTATTGCACTCAGTGATGAGTACACATTTATGTATCACATTTATACATGTGATATAAACAGGTTATGAACACCATGTACCTCAGCCCACCACCATGACCTTCCTTTTGAAGTGACATCTCCAGCATCTTCAGTATCAAGTCATACAACCTGACACCAGGCCCATCTTTATGCTTAAGTCTTGGCCCTGTTTCTTGTGTCCAGAGATCTTATGAACGATCCTCACACAATGTCTGTGCTCCTGGGAGGGCTTCTAGTAGAGAGTGAATGTTGTATGCAATCTATGCATCCTTCATCTAGCCATCATCAGAAAGACCTTTTTCTTTACATCCCCCAGGTTCCAAATATTCTTGAAACATGCACACTCTGAAGAAAAAGTGGTAACAGTAGTGGTAGCCGAGTATATACAGCATTTACAACACACTATGCCCTGTTCTAAGAGCATATAGGGTTAAATATTAACTCATTTATTCCTCACAGCAACCTTATAAGGTACATGGTTATTATCATCATCATCTCCATCTTGAAGACAAGGAAACTAAGACCCAGAAGAGTGTAACTGGCCCAAATTTACACAGCTGGTTAGTACCAACCAGGAATTGAACCCCACTCTTGCAGCTCCAGAGTCCTTACACTTACACAGAAGTGGCACTTGCCTTTCACATCTGTCAGCACTCACTCCCAGGCTTCAATCAAATGCACATGTGAGTTAGCTTTGAAAGCAGCTTCTACAGTAACAAACCTACCATGGTTAGATTCGGGAACAGCTACTCACTTCACAAGGCAGTTTGTTGTCGCAAGTGAATCATTTTCAGTGACAAGTTTCTCCTGGAACAGGTCAGCTGGTTATAAAGTCATTAGTGACTTCCCAGAACTAATGGGACAAGGAAACTGAGCCAAAGGGTTAGGACCACTGCCAACTAAAGATCCATTAGAACTGTAAAGTGTCTCTAGCGTAACGTCCACATTAGTAGAAAAACACAACTTTTCTTATACACGAATATTTTCCCTGAACCATGGCCACATGTGGGAGATATTAAGTAGGGGGTCTCGGCACAGCACTTCACAAGAGGTGTCCTCATAAACAAAATTTCTCTTCCAGCCCTTCCATTGCTCCCCTGGGGTCCCTTGACCCACAGTTCTCTTGTCACTTTTGGCGATACTATTAGTTGGTTCAAACATGCAAAAAGGTATAATCCAAGTGGCTAGGAAGCTTCCCAGGTGGCACTAGTGGTAAAGAACCTGCCTGCTAGCTCAGGGGATGCAAGAGATGAGGTTCAGTCCCTGAATCAAGAAGATCCTTTGGAGGATGAAGTGACAACCTACTCCAGTATTCTTGCCTGGAAAATTCCCTGGACAGAGGAGCCTGACGGGCTACAGTCCATGGGACCACAAAGAATGGGGCACAACTAAGCAACTGAACACACATCAGTTTCAAAGGAGTTGCATATAGCTCTGTTTCTGTTAATTAAAAATTTTTTATTGGAATACAGTTGCTTTACAATGTTGTGTAAGTTTCACAGCAAAGTGAATCAGCTATATGTGTACATATATCCCCTCTTTTTTGGATTCCCTTCCCGTTTAGGTCACCACAGAGCACTGAGCACAGTTCCCTGTGCTATACAGTAGGTTCTCATTAGTTATCCATTTTATGCGTAGCATCAATAGTGTATACATGTGAATCTCAATCTCCCCATGCATCCTCCACCCCCTTTCCCCACTGGTGTCTGTACGTTTGTTCCCTATGTTTGTGTTATGTAGCTCTGTTTCTTTTGAATTCACCATGTCATGAAACCCCAGATGGTTCAAGTGAAGGGCTTTTGTGAAGGGACCGCATGCAGAGATGAGGCAGGATTGAAAGGACGATGTTTGTTACCACAGGGAGCCCAGCGAGGTCTGGTTCTGGGGAAAGGACCCTCCTGCTGAAAGAGAAGCAGCTGCTACTAGAGTCTGTACTAGAGGAAGGAAGGAAGTGCCCCATCTCTTTCTCCTCCTCTTCTCCTCGCCACTCTTTTGCCGTTGCCTCCCATGGACACTGAGGGCCAGGAGGCCTGGGTGATGTGGCCAGTAATGTTAGCCCTCAGGATTCCGAGCAAGAGGAAAGGGTAGAGAGCCCATCTTAAGGGCAGAGAATAAGGAGCACATTATCTCCTTCAAAGGTGGGTAAACTGAGTCACTGAAAGGGAAAGTAACATATTTCAGATCAAAAAGGGAGACCCAGAACCAAGATAAACGCTGCACTTTCCAATCTGTTCTCACTGGTTTCAAGTAGTCTGAATGCTTGGAGAGAATCATTAAATCTCAGAGGACATCTACTCCCTCAAACTCCTTCCCAATATATGATGACGTTACAAGGCAGCCCACCGGGGCCCACCTTTCTTCAGAAGTAGTGAAGTTGTGTGTGATCAGTATGACTCAGCCTTCTGCCTAGATTCACCAGAGAGATTTTCATGAATCACTTGTGTGGGTGACCCTCCGGGTGTTTTTACTCTTTCAGTGAATTCTCTCCACACACTAAGTTTGTCTCTGTTTGATTCATGAAGGTGATTCATCTGAAGAAGTTGACCTGACCATGGTTTATCAGGCAGCATCGAACGGAGATGTCAGTGCTCTGACTGCTGTGATTCGGGAAGACCCTTCCATCCTAGAATGCTGTGACAGTGAAGGTGAGCTATTTATGCATTTTGGATCCTGCAGAATGTCCTGATCTGTCCTTTCAGAAATGGCCTCCAGAGGTGAGCAATGTTAATAAAATAATATTTGAAAGACTACTTTGATACTGAAGGGTCAAGGAATATTATTTAATGAGACTCATGGACACAAATCTTCAAACTCTTTTATATCACCTCTTCTCATAAAGCTGTTCAGTTTGGGTTTGTTTTCAACTTCTTTGTATGAGTGACAAAAGTAGATAGCCAAAGTAGATGACCTTAGAAGAAGTGTATGAAAAGAAGAGGCTATTTTTGGCAGCAGTGGATGTTAGGGAAAGTGTGATTATTAAAGTCAGAGAGCAGGGACTTCTGTTTCTGGGAAGATGGGGCAGAAGTAGGACCTTTTTTTAAAAAATTCCTTCTGCTAAATACAACTAAAAATCCTGAATATTGTATATAGCATAAACATAAGAACACTCTGAAGGGTAGAGAGAAAATGACAGACTAGCTAGGACCTTGAGACCCAAGGAATGACATAGTGGTGAGTTTCCTGGGCTTCCTTTTTGCTCCGAATTTCCCAGACTTAGAACTGAAGAAGCTGACAATGTAGAAATGTCAATGGACAGAGAACAAAAAAGCCCCCAACAAAAGCCTGCTCTCTAGTCAAAGAACCAAGAAAGTGGTCACATAGCAAGACAAATCTTTTAGACAATAATGAGTCTACTCCACCAAACAATCCCACCAAAACAACAACAACAACAAACCCCAACCCCATTCATTCTAGCAAAGACCAAGCTGGGAGCCTGCACCTCCACCTTCACCTGGTAACGAAGTCCCCACATTGCCACCACTGAGGCAGTGTGAGGGGATTCCTTCTTCAGTTAGGACTCTCACCACCACCCAGTAATGAAGAGTCTTCTCCCTTAGATGTCAATGAAGGCTAAGGAAGGGACGTAGACGTCTAATCTTACCTGGCAGTACTGAGGTGGTGTTCCCCCTTCATTTCCCCTTTGGAGCAGTATCAGAAAAAAAACAGCTAAAATAGAGGATTTAAGCCAGACTTAGGCAACTCATAATGCAATACTCCAAATGTCCAAGTTTCAAAGAAAATCACTTGACATACCAAGTATCAATAAGACCTCAAACTGAATGAAAAAAAAAAAAACAATCAATAGATGCCAACAGTGAGATGAGAGAAGTTAGAATTACCTAGCAAAAACAAACACATGAAAAGATGCTCAACATCACTCATTATCAGAGAAATGCAAATCAAAACCACAATGAGGTACCATTACACTTCAGTCAGGATGGCTGCTATCCAAAAGTCTACAAGCAATAAATGCTGGAGAGGGTGTGGAGAAAAGGGAACCCTCTTACACTGTTGGTGGGAATGCAAATTAGTACAGCCACTTTGGAAAACAGTGTGGAGATTTCTTAAAAAGCTGGAAATAGAACTGCCATATGACCCAGCAATCCCACTTCTGGGCATACACACCGAGGAAACCAGATCTGAAAGAGACACATGCACCCCAATGTTCATCGCAGCACTGTTTATAATAGCCAGGACATGGAAGCAACCTAGATGCCCATCAGCAGACGAATGGATGAGGAAGTTGTGGTACATATACACCATGGAATATTACTCAGCCATTAAAAAGAATTCATTTGAATCAGTTCTAATGAGATGGATGAAACTGGAGCCCATTATACAGAGCGAAGTAAGCCAGAAAGATAAAGACCATTACAGTATACTAACACATATATATGGAATTTAGAAAGATGGTAACGATAACCCTATATGCAAAACAGAAAAAGAGACTCCGATGTATAGAACAGACTTGTGGACTCTGGGAGAAGGCGAGGGTGGGATGTTTCAAGAGAACAGCATCGAAACACGTATATTATCTAGGTGAAACAGATCACCAGCCCAGGTTGGTGCATGAGACAAGTGCTCGGGCCTGGTGCACTGGGAAGACCCAGAGGGATCGGGTGGAGAGGGAGGTGGGAGGGGGGACCGGGATGGGGAATACATGTAAATCCATGGCTAATTCATTTCAATGTATGACAAAAACCACTGCAATGATGTAAAGTAATTAGCCTCCAACTAATAAAAATAAATGAAAAAATTAAAAAAAATAAAATTAAAAAAAAAAAGAACCACATTAGAGAGCTATTGAGTAAATTTGACCCTAAAATTTCTTTACTGTTAATTTCCTAAGTATTATTGCTTTTTTGTTTCTTGAATTATTAAATACCCAGAGAACTACATATAAGTGGTAAATAAAAACAGACATATTGAAGCAAAAAAAAAAAAAGAATTACCTAGCAAAGATTTTCAAGTAACCATGGAAAAATGCTTCAGTGAGCAATTACAAGTATGCTTCAAACAAACAAAAAGTAGAAAGGCTCAGCAAAGAAATAACAGATATAAAGAAGAATCAAATGGAAAATTTTTAAACTGAAAAATACAATAATTTCAATTAAAAACTCAATGACTAAGCTCAGCAGCAGAATGAGGAAGCAGAGTAAAGATCAATGAAATTGAAAAGAGAACAATAGCAATGAGACAATCTGAACAACTGAAAGAAAAAAAGGGTTAAAAAATGAAGATGAAGACTAAGAAAAAGAAGAGGAAGAGAAGAAAAACAAAAAGGAGGAGGAGGAGGAGAGGAGGGGGTGGCAGCCTCAAGGACTTATGGAACTATAACAAAGAATTTATCATTGGTTTCTCTATCCTAGTAGTTCTGGGAAGTAATTAATCATTTTTAACCAGTTGACTTGTCATAAGAGGAGCTTGGAATTCCCTTGTCATGACAATAAAATGTTTTGTAAAGTGTGTGGTTGCTCCCTAATTTATCAATGGTAGTTTTTTCATTCATTTGTTTTTTAAAGAAGAATTACTTGTACATCTGCTTTGGGGTTAGAAGTTTGAAATGAGAGAAAATAGAGAAAATCAATGAACCAAGAAACTAATTCTTTGAAAAGGTCAATAAAACTTATAAACCTCTACCAATAAGGACAAAAAAGAAAATGAAAGAGATCTAAGTTATAACTATCAGCAATAACCCTGAAGACATTTAAAGGATAATAGAAAATATAGCAAACAGCTCTACACACATAATTTGACTATTTAGATGAAATGTAGCAATTCCTCAAAAAAGATAAATGACCACAGTTCACCCAATAGGACATTATTTGAATAGTTCTATAACTATAAAGGAACTCAAATTGTTAATTTTTAAATTCCCAGAAAAAGACATCATCAGGCCTAGATGATTTCACTGGGGACTTCGAGAAACTTTTAAATAAAATTAATACCAACTCTACATAATCTCTTCCAGAAGAGGAGGAAACTTTTCTGAGTTATGATTATGAAACTGATATTACCCTCATATCAACATATGACCAAGATGATATAAAAACTAAACCTATAGACAAATACTCCACATGAATACAGATATAGACAGACATCCTTAGCAAAATATCAGCAAATAGGGACTTCTCTGATAGTCTAGTAGTTAAGACTCAACACTTCCAATGCAGGGGACACAAGTTCAATCCCTGACTGGGAAACTAAGATTCTACATGCTGTGAGGTGCCGCCAAAAAATAAAAAGTAAATAAAAAATTTTAAAAACCAGCAAACAGAATTCAGTAATATATAAAAAAGAATTATATATCCTGACCAAATGTAGCTTGTTCTAGGAATGGAAGTCCATTTCAACACTTGAAAATCGAGGCTTTCCTGGTGGCTCAGTAGTAAAGAATCCGCCTGACAGTGCAGGAGACATGGGTTCGATCCCTGGTCTAAGAAGATCCCACATGCTGTGGAACAGCTAAACCCATGCACCACAACTATTGACTTTGTGCTCTTGAGCAGCAACAAGAGAAGCCACTGCAATGAGAAGCCAGTGCACTCCACCTAGAGAAGAGCCACCTCTTGCCACAACTGGAGAAAAGCCCACACAGCAATGAAGACCCAGCACAGTCAAAAATAAATAAACCTTTAAAAAAGAAACTTGAAAAATTAAGCAATGTATCATTTTAACCAGCTAAGAAGAAAACCCACATGATCATATCAATTGATACAGAAAAAGCATTTGACAAAATTTAGCACACACTTATTATTAAAAACTCTCAGGAAGATAGGAGAGGAGGAGATCTTCCTCAATCTGATAGATAGTATCTACAAAAAACCCTAGCGCTAACATTTTACTTACTGGTGAAAGACTGAATGCTTTGCCCCTGAGATGGGCAACAAAGCAAAAAAGTTCATTCTTTCTCATATTCAACATAGTCCTGGGAGTTCTAGCCAGTGCAAAGAAGCAAGAAAAGAAATAAAAAGCATACATATTGAAAAAGAAAACTGTTCCTTTTTTTGCACAACTTGATTGTCTACATAGAAAAATCCTAAAAAAAAAACCTATCAAAAACTCCAACTAATGAGTTGAGCAAGGTCCCAGAATACAAGATCAATATACAAAACCAAATTTATTTCTATTGATATATACTAGAAATGAACACATGGACATCAATATTAAAACCACAATACCAAGTAAAATCACTCAATAAAAACTATTTAGGTGTGAACAAAACAAAATACATTCAAGACTTACATACTCTAAACCATAAAATGCTAATGAAAGAAATCAAAGATCTAAAATAAATGGAGAGATCGTGTTCATGGATTAGAAGATTCAATATAGTAAACATGAAATGCTCCCCAAATTCATATACAAGTTTAATGCAATTTATATCAAACTCAAGTAAGATATATTTTGTGGATATAGACAAGATTATCTAAAATTTATATAGAAAGCAAAGAAACTAGGAGAGTTAAAACAATTTTGAAAAAGAAGAATGAAGTAGGGGAGAATTCAGTTCAGTTGCTCAGTTGTGTCCCCATGGACTGCAGCGACCCCATGGACTGCAGAACGCCAGGCTTCCCTGTCCATCACCAACTCCTGGAGCTTCCTCAGATTCATGTCCGTTGAGTCAATGATGCCATCCAAACATCTCATCTTCTGTCATCCCCTTCTCCTCCTGCCCTCAACCCAGCATCAGAGTCTTCTCAAATGAGTCAGTTCTTCCCATCAGTGGCCAAAGTACTAGAGTTTTAGCTTCAACATTAGTCCTTCCAATGAACACCCAGGACTGATCTCCTTGAGGATGGACTGGTTGGATCTCCTTGCAGTCCAAGTGACTCTCAGGAGCCTTCTCCAACACCACAGTTCAAAGGCATCAATTCTTCGGTGCTCAGCTTTCTTTATAGTCCAGCTCTCACATCCATACATGACTAATGGAAAAACCATGTCTTTGACTAGATGGAACTTTGTTGGAGAAGTAATGTCTCTGCTTTTCAATATGCTGTCCAGGTTGGTCATAACTTTCCTTCCAAGGAGCAAGCATCTTTTAGTTTCATGGCTGCAGTGATTTTGTATCACTCAGTTCATTTCAGTTCAGTCGCTCAGTCGTGTATGACTCTTTGCGACCCCATGAATCGCAGCACGCCAGGCCTCCCTGTCCATCACCAACTCCTGGAGTTTACTCAAACTCATGTCCATTGAGTCGGTGATGCCATCCAGCCATCTCATCCTCTGTCATTCCCTTCTCCTCCTACCCCCAATCCCTCCCAGCATCAGGGTCTTTTCCAATGAGTCAACTCTTTGCATCAGGTGGCCAAAGTATTGGAGTTTCAGCTTCAGCATCAGTCCTTCCAATGAACACCCAGGACTGATCTCCTTGAGGATGGACTGGTTGGATGGCCTTGCAGTCCAAGGGACTCTCTCTCAGGAGTCTTCGCCAACACCACAGTTCAAAAGCATCAATTTTTCAGCACTCAGCTTTCTTCACAGTCCAACTCTCACATCCATACATGACCACTGGAAAAACCATAGCCTTGACCAGACAGACCTTTGTTGGCAAAGTAATGCCTCTGCTTTTTAATATGCTCTCTAGGTTGGTCATACCTTTCCTTCCAAGGAGTAAGCGTCTTTTAGTTTCATGGCTGCAATCACCGTCTGCAGTGATTTTAGAGCCCCCAAAAATAAAGTCTGACACTGTTTCCACTGTTTCCCCATCTATTTCCCAACTAATAACCTCCAATAAGTGTGTGCTATACCTGTCTGCCTAGTCAGCATTGCTTTCTAAAGATACTTCCAGATTCTGCATTGTTCAAACCAACTTGGGCTTAACCCTGCCTGTTATGTCCCAAATTATACTGATTCCCAAGGCGGTAATAAACAAACTTTATCATCTGCACAAAATGTTTTAATCAAGCAATTACAGCAAGATTACAAAAGATTTAGTAGGGTCTAAAAATGGATAATTTATACTGGGCTGGCTAAAAAGTTCCTTCAGTTTTTAAGTAAAAACTCTTATGTATTTTCTGCTGACTAATTCCAGACACTTTTCATCTAGTGCTGTTTTCAGTTGGTCTATTTGAGAGTGATAGAAAGTGAAGGTGAAGTCACTCAGTCGTGTCCAACTCTTTGCAACCCCGTGGACTGTAGCCTATCAAGCTCCTCAGTCTATGGAATTTTCCAGGCAAGAGTACTGGAGTGGGTTGCCATTTCCTTCTCCAGGGGATCTTCCCGACCCAGGGATCAAACCCAGATCTCTTGCATTTCAGGCAGACGCTTTACCATCTGAGCCACCAGGAAAGCCCTGGGAGCAATTGTTGGAATTAATTGTTTGGTTTTCCAGGAGCTCATTAATAGAAGGCATCCTTCCTATCCCACCATATACAAGTCACCTTCTTCGAATGAAGACTGGCCTGTGGTGTGGTTGGTGGTAGTTAATTTCACTTGCCCCACAGTCTTTTATGTTCCCACATTATTGTACAGAATCCACTTGTCATTAGCCATCACAATTTGTTTCAAAAACAAAATGTTTTAGTTACATTTAAGTAGTGAATCACATGCAGAAATATGGTTAAAGTGTTTTTTTGCTTAACTTATGTGGGATGCAAACATCAAGGTGATTAACATAACCAAGCAGGTACAAATGGTTTTCCATACTTGATTTGGATATTTTGATATATCAGCTACCTTCTGTGTGGTATAATGTTGATCGTTCTCGGTTAATGTCTTGATTTGATCATTATCAGCTTCAACTGGTCTACCCAATTGTGGAACATTGTCCAGCAAGAAATCTCCAGCATGAAATTTCATAAAACACTTTTGACATGTTTAATCAGTCACAGCACCTTTCCCATACACTGCACAAATCTTTTTTTTGAGTTTCAGTTGTGCTTTTATCTTTCTTGAAATAATAAAGCATGATATGCCAAAAATGTTGCTTTTTCCTTCCATTCAATATTAAAATAGCTACAAAAATTCACCAATTTTGATAATTTTTAAAATGCATGCTGATGTGACAGCTATCACAGTACAACCAAACAAAATTGTTTAGAATGAAGTTAGAGACAAGTAAGCACTATGAGAGACAGCTTATGGAAAAAAAAAAAAAAACACTTTTGGCCAACCTAATATAAATGCAGCAACAATCATCATCTCTCTTCAGCTCAACAGTTGAGTTTGTGTTGAGGGTAGTTCATCTGCAAAGAGCATAATAAATGAACAGGCAAGTAAAGTCGACTCATAAATTTCACAAGTCAAACATTTTTAAAAGCTGTTGAAATGTCTCATTCCAGGATGCACACCCTTAATGCATGCGGTTTCTGGACGTCAAGTGGACACAGTGAAGCTGCTGTTGAAGATGGGAGCCAATATTAACACGCAGGACGCTTATGGCCGCACGAGTCTCTGTCTGGCAACCTATCTGGTACCAACTGTATCTGTGGCGAGTGTGAAGGAGTGGGGTGGACTAGATGTGTTGTTATGGGGCCCCCACTTGCAGAAGAGTGATCTTCGATTTGTGCAGCTGGTCAATAGAAATAGAAGTTCAGAAATATTGCCTTAATCCTCTCCAACATTTATATAATCACTTAGAATTGGTAGCATGGATTTCCTTAATCATCTCCAACATTTATATAATCACTTAGAATTGGTAGCATGGATTTAAGTCATTTTGGATCTTCCTAATAAGCCTCTAGGGGCTTCCCTGGTGGCTCAGTGGTAAAAAATCCGCCTGCCAGTGCAGGAGATGCAGGTTCGATCCATAGGTAGGAAAGATCCCCTGGAGAAGCAAATGGCAACCCACTCCAGTATTCTTGCCTAAAGAATCCCATGGACAGAGGAGCCTGATAGGTCCATGGGGCTGCAAAAGAGTCGGGCGTGACTAAGCAGCTAAACAACAACAAACAACAAGCAAACAGAAATCACTGAAATCAAGCTACATTTCTTCTAAAATTCAAAATTTCACATTTCTTGGGCTAGATAGCCATTTAAGGGGCAGGGAGGAAGTTCTCTAGATGACGGTGAGCAGTGAGCTTAGCGAGGTGCCAGCGTTGCATACAACTCTTTCTGGGAACGCATTCTAAGGGGTTGCATAGGAAAGTATGCCTGAATGACAGCAAAGCATTACCCTCTACTGTTGACACCACCTCTGTTTGGAAGCCCAAGGTAGGGCCCCTCACTGGCTCTTCTGAGGTTCCCTGGGAGGTGAGAATAGGTAGTGTCTTAGCCATTACACTGTGAAACCTATCACTTTCTCTGGCAATGTTTGAATTAAAGTATTAAAGAGAAACTTGACAAAGAGAACATTCAGAAATTTTCTCAGTCACAGATTCAAACTCAATATACAGATAAACTTACCATAGAGGTGTAGTCCTAGGCAAATTTCTTCACCTCTTTACGCCTGCTTCCTCATTTGTAAAATGTAGTAAAAATAATACCCTAAGTTGGGCACAACTGAAGAAGAACCACATGCAGTCACCCAGCACATAGTAGTACAAAACATAGTTTTCTGGTTCTAAACAATGACTGTGAGATTCAGATGTAGTCCATAGTTTTCTGATTTCTTTTCTGAGGAAGAAAAAAAGAAAACCACATACATAGTTCCATGAAATGTTGCAAAATGATAAAAATGTTTCAAACCCTCCTCCATCAGAAGATTTGTTTTTCAAGAGCTATAAAACTTTGGCAACTCTACAATTTGGCAACTCTGAAATTTGTCCAGTATGCTTTTCTTTTGGTCTCCTGCTCATATTTTTCCTTTTAATCAGAGAACTTTTAATTTAAGCATCAGGAATTAAAACCAGATTTAATACCTTAGTAAACTATGACTCAAGACTGAAAACTGTTTGCTTCTACTTAACACTCAGATATTATTGGTCAGCTCTACAAAGTCATACTTAATCTTAGAACCTATGAATTTTACTGTGCTTTTGTTGAAAGTTTTTTTCCCTAGACTTTTCAGAACTGAAAGTTCTTATCATTATCTTTCTTTCTCTTCCACACATTTAAGTAACATTTTTATTACTACCAGTACTACAAGGGAAAATATTCAGTAATCTTTCTCTCGTTACTGGGTAATCTTGACGCTTAACTATACAGGATAGAATAAAGCAGAGGAAAAAATAGAGTTTTATTATATTATTATTCATAATCATAACTGCATTTACTTATAAGTTTAGTTATAATTAGGTGGGAAACCCAAGTGATTCTGGATGAATGTTGGAGGTATTCTCCTTGGCATGTGAGCCAAGCTCAGTTTTCAGCAGAGTTGGGTCAGTTACTTAAAGTATTAATGAACAGAAAGGAAGGACTAGCCTGCAATTATATTTTCCCTTTGAAATCAGAAAGACAGTGGAGAAGTGACCCAATTTTAAGTGCTAACCAAGGAGGAGTCAAGCTTCAGACATGGCAATATCAGGTCTCAATCTGGTGAATTTGTAGGCAACAGAGAGTTCACAGGAAGGGTCTTGGGGAATTCAGAGGTGGATAAACAACAATTGGGAAGACATAAGAGGGTGCTGGTGATAGATCCATATTCAGCAGCAGAAAGGGCAGTCAGTGGCTGGCAGGGTCCCAGCCATTGGAGTAGAGTTCAGTTTAGAATTCTAGGGATCAGAAAAGAGACTGATTAGAGTAACGAAGATATTATCTTTGGGGTTGCTAGAAAGAGAACTTGGAAAAGGGGATGAAGGGCCATATTTCAGATATAGGTGAACTAAGGCATACAGTGGAGTTTGGGACACAAGGACTTAGGGACTTCTGTGGCGGTCCAGTGGTTAAGAATCCTCCTTCCAAATCAGGGGACACAGATTCAATCCCTGGTGTGGGAAGATTCCACTTGCTGATGGGCAACTAAGCCCATGTTGAGTCCAAGCCCGCTGCTGAGTCCAAGCTCCACAACTGAAGCCCTCCAACTCTGAACCCCATGCTCCACAGCAAGAGAAGCCTGCACACTGGAACTAGAGAGTAGCCGCCACTTGCTGCAACTAGAGAAGAAGCCCTTGTGCAGCAAGAGACCCAGTGAAGCCAAAAATAAATAAATTAAATAAAATGATGACATAGGAGCCCACCTTTGAAATTGGGCCATGGCATCCAGTTTTGGAATTAGCGTGATTTGGAGTTAAGCCCATAAGGGTCTAGAGTTGACTAATCATCCTCATCACTTGCCACCTTTGGCTCTGGAAACTGAGTATAAAAGGGGAACGAATCTCAGCGAGCAGCCCTAGAATTGGGGAGACAGAGGCAGAAGACTAGGATCTGTCTGCCCCTGACAGGAAAAGGTCCTCCAGAAAACTCAAGAATCCACGCCTCAAGACCTTCAGTCCTCTGCTGTCTGAATGGGAGGTATGGGCCTTAACCAACCACCTCAGGTCAAGTAGAATATGTTTTAAGCCAAACCAAAAGAAGAGAGGGAAAGAAAACTGGAGAAAGTTTGTTGGACTCTGGTACTATGTCATGCGGGATTGTGTTATACAACATTGCTTTTGCTCTTCCAGGGATGGCTGGAAGGCTGTGTGAGTCTACTCAGAAATGGTGCCAAGCACAATATCCCAGATAAAAATGGCCGTCTGCCACTGCACGCTGCCACCGCTGAGCCCGATGTGAGGTACGTCTCTAGCCAGGTTCACACGACACTCAAATTGGGATGCACCCAAGTTGGATTAGAAGCTCACCTAATCCAACCCTTGTAGCAAATAAAAACAAATTTTATCCATTTCTTTGGTATTCACAGCACACAGGACCACATCTCAGTGAATCAATATACCCTGGAATAGTCTCAACTCTAATATCACTCTCAATTTGACTTCGATAAAATCCTTTTCTCCTAGCCTCTGATTTAATAAGAAATGCTTTGTGTCACCATCTGAACTTGTATATTCTTTCACTCAGTCAGTCAATGATTAATTCAATAACTATTTATTGCATGCTTAGAATGCTTATTATGGACCAAGCATTGCTCTAGGCCCTAGATTTCCACATAAGCAAGACAGTGGCTCTGACTTCACAGATCTTACTTTCTAGTGAAGGAGTTAAGTGGCACACTAGCAAACAAATAAATAGTGTAATTTCAAGTAGTGATGAGGGTATGACAGAAACCAAACAAGGTAAGAGAGCATTACTGTCTGAACCCAGAGTCATGCCAACATTTAAGGGCGGTGTCGGCTACAAATTGGAACATGTCACTGGCACTTGCCATCTATCTCTGGGTATTTCCCAACTGGCACTAGTGATAAAGAATCTACCTGCCAATATAGGAGATGTAAAAGATGAGGGTTTGATCCCTGGGTCAGGAAGATCCCCTGGAGTAGGAAATGGCACCTTGCTTCAGTATTCTTGCCTGGAAAATTCCATGGACAGAGGAACCTGGTGGGCTACAGTCCATGGGGTCACAAAGAGTTGGACATGACTGAGCAACTCAGCACACATCTACCTCTATAAAGGTTAAATCATGTGCTGCTACAGCTGCTGATTTTCAAACCCCACCCCCACCCCTCTCACACCCACCCCTCACCTCCCCACAACCAGGAAAGTTCAGGAGTTCAGAGCAGAAATGAGACATGTTGTGCCCAGGGGAAAACTGGCAGAACAGGTCTTCAGATGGTTAGATATTTTCAGGAGCCAATGTTATGAGCCCAGTTCTTGTATCTCCTCATATCTAGAAAAGCACTAAAATCCTCCATGGTGATGACTGCTCCTTGTGACTAGCAAAAGCTTCATGAGACTGGAAGAAACCTGGAAAAATGAGCACTTGATTGCATATATTCCCCCTTCCCCCAAATCTCATATATACGCTGACCTTCCCCCCTTCTTTTTTGGAGTAGTTTCTCAGAGATGCCTGAGTTCTCCCAGCTGCAGTCCTCATTTTGCCCCCAAATAAAACTTAATTCACAACTCTCATGTTGTGCATTTTTTTTAAGTCAACAGCTGGAAGAAGGCAAAGACCCAGCAAAGGAGACTGAAAGGGCATGGGGTAACCAGTGGGTTAGCAGGAAAAGCAGGAGTGTGTGATGCTGGAGGCCATGCAAAGAAAGTCCTCAAATAGTTGGATGATTGAGAAGGTCACTTTCTTGTAAGACAATTGTGCAACAAAGGAAAAAGTTTTGCCCAGACAGTCCTCTGTACTAAGTGGCCTGGATCCCCAATCTTTCAAAAGCCCCTCCTAGCAGCTTGATAAGAGTTTCCCAGTATGGAATCAGCAACACTCCAGGCACTTCCTGAACCTTTGCTGACAGAGCAGAACTCTGACAGGAATTTCACGTCCCAGAGCTAGGCAGCAGGCCAGAACCTCAGGGGCTGCCTTTGCTGCCCCCTCCTCCACACCTTGTGTCCAGAAGTAAACTGAAGACTGTGGGGGTTGAGACAAAGGCCCCTTCCAGGTTGAGAGGTGGTAGGGTTTCTTCATTTCAGTCTGGTTTACACTAAAGTAAGAGGACTTGGGAAATTCCAGGACTATTCCCAACCAAGTCTTGCCTCTTATTATCATTGGATCATATCCAGCAATAATAGAAAACTTAGATTTACTCAAAGCCCAACAAAACAAGGAAGTTTAGAGAAGAAACAGCAAGCCCAGAGCTAACAATCTGTGGACATCATAAAAAGATGACTACCTTTTGATGAAAAAAGAATGACTTTTCTAGACAACCCACAAAAATATTTAGTCACAAAATCATACTGTTTTTCCAAGAGTGTGTGTGTTAACCGTGTCTGACTCTTTGTGACCCCACGGACTGTAGCCCGCCAGGCTCCTCTGTCAATGGGATTTTTCAGGCAAGAATACTGGATTGTGTAGCCATTCCCTTCTCCAGGGGATCTTTCCCAACCAGGGATCGAACCCCGTGTCTCCTGCATGGCAAGCAGATTCTTTACCATCTGAGCCATCATTTTAAAGACTATTTTGCATCAATTTACTCCACTTAGGTGCTTTTTACCTACCTCACTCAGAGCAGTCATTTCAAAATCTATATAACTAATTCTGGAAAATGAACATCTGCTTTAGTTATGGTAATCATAGCTGTTGTAAAAAATAAAACCCAAGTCTTCAGTATTTTTTTTAATGTTTGGCAGTGCTGGGTCTCCATTATTGCACAAAAACTTTCTCCAGTTGAGGTGAGCAGGGACTACACTCTAGTTGCGATTCAGGGCTGGTTGTCATAGTGGCTCCTCTTGTTTCGGAGGATAGGCTCTAGGGTACAGGCTCAGTAGTTGTGGCTCATGGGCTTAGCTGCTCTGCAGTATGTGGCATGTTCCTGGACCAGAGATTGAACCCATGTCCCGTGCATTGGCAGGTGGATTCTTAACCGCTAGACCACCAGGGAAAGTGAAAGTGAAAGTGTTGCTGACTCACTTGTGTCCAATTCTTTGCGACCCCATGGACTCTAGCCCACCAGGTTCCTCTGTCCCTGGAATTCTCCAGGCAAGCATACTGGAGTGGGTTGCCATTTCCTACTCCAGGGGATCTTCCTGACCCAGGGATTGAACCTGGGTCTCCTACATCATAGGCAGATTCTTTACCATCTGAGCCACCATAGAAGCCTTACCCAGCATTTTAACATAGTATAAGTTTATTCCAACGTAGGTTTCCTGGACTGGGAGCAGGGGAGGTGGCTCCCCTCCACAGATGATTCGGAGATGCCAGCCTGTGGCTTCATTCTCTCCTAGGATCACAGAATCCTTTTTGTTCAGCCCGCAGATAGGGTAAGAGGAGAGTAGACAAGCCTCACTTAATTCTTTAAAAGCCTGTAAATGACACAGTTCACTTCCGCTCACATTCCATTAATAAGGATGAGTCGTTTGGCCATAAGAAGCGCTAGGGAACATAGTCCCTGACCAAGAAAGAATCCACATCCTGGCCATGACTCCAGACCAAGAAAGGGGGACACGAATTTTGGTGAGAAGCTGGCTCTGCCGTTAAACTATTGCACCTGATGGGTGAATCAAGCCTTTGCATCAAAATCCTCAATTTGGTCAATAGAGTAAGCTTATCATCTGAAATCACTGCAATATATTCAAAAACTATCTAAGCATACTTCCTCTTTTGTGGATTTATTATGCTAGTTCTTATTATGCCTCTAGACTCTCTAGGACTTAGATTACATCACTGTAACTGAGAGAACCCAAAGCTGTGGTTTCCCCTTCTCATGAAACTGTCCCAAATGACCCAGTCACCACCTTTGTAAGAGCTGAAGCCAGAAAAATAAAATTCTCTTTGTACTAATGATTTCATTTTATTGTCCTAGATGGACAGTTTGCTGATTCTGGAAGATAAAATCTGCTTTAATTATGGTAATGCTAGCTGTTGTAACTAGTAAAACCCAAAGGGTAAGATTAAATGTTCCAAAACCCAAATTAGCATTTCTGATAAATGTTATCCAAAAATGAATTGGGTTAAACCTTAACAACTGTTGAGAGAAAAAATTATACACTGTAAGAGTTGTGAATTTTTTATTTGGGGCAAAATGAGGACTATAGCCCAGGAGATAGCATTTCAGATAGCTCTGAGAAACTACTGCAAAGAGGTTAGGGGAAGGTCAGTGTCTGTGTGATTTTGATGAAGGGGGAGTACTTACATTAACCATGTATTTTTGTAGAAGGTTACTGTGAGTCACGAGAAGCAGTTGTCACCATGAAAGATTTTAGTGCTTTTCTAGATATGAAGAGATGTAAGAATTGGGCTCATAAAGCCTTCTTCTGAAAATATCTAAATCTTTGAAGGCCTGTTCTGCCAGTTTTCTTCCCCAGAGCTCGGGGTGTCTCATTCCTGATCTCCACCCTGAACTCCTTTCAGGGGGTTAAGTCAGCAATCTCAGCAGTTTGGACTGAATCTTTGTAGAGACAGATGACAAGGGCCAACCTATAGTTTTGTACAACCCATATAGCAAATCAGCTGACTTTGTTACCTAGAGAACATTTCAAAACTAGCTTGACTGAAAGGATTTCTTATGGAATTGCATTGCTTAAAACTAGATACTTTATCATTGTTTTATTGAGAAACCTTATGGCTGTGTCTGAGTTTGATAACATCTGCATTAAATGTTTCAAGGCAAAACTAACCTAGCCAAAGAACTTGGGCTTCAACTGCCCATTTATGTGTCTGCTTGAACTCAGAATCACTTTCTAAGAAAAAAATCTTAGTCTGCCTTACAGGCATCTTCTAATCCTAAAATCATAATGCAGAAGGGAGTGACCTTCCATTAAGTCATCTAAATCTGTTCAACTGTTTAATTTTCCTAAATGGACACAACTTTAGGCCAGCTTGTCTGACCATTAAAGCATAGCGGTCTATAGTTATAACAAGCATGATGATGACAAGCAGCATTGATTATTTATCATGTTCTGAGCAAAATTCTGAGCACTTTCTATGTGCTATCTCATCTAAACTTTACCACACCTCTATGTGATAGGTAATATTTCTATCCCCATTTTACAGAGAAAACTAAGGCATCAAGAAGATAACTAATTGCCTAGAGCATGTGTGAAGATAAGTAACCTGCCCAGGGAGTGTGCCATGCTCCTGGAGTCCACTGCTGTGGACCCTGTTGAATTCATTTTAATGGCCACATTTTGTCCTTAAGCTCTCAGTCTACCCCGAAAGGCCTTATGCGAAAC